AAATCTCAGCGCCCTGAAGCCCTGAAGCCCTCAACCCTGAAGCCCTGAACCCCTAAATTCTGAACCCCTAAAATCCTAAACCCTAGACCATGTTCTGGCTAAGCATCCAGGCGTCATCCCTGAAACACTAAACCCATTAAACGCCGAAACCTTCAACCCTATTACCCTTACATCCACTCTTAAATGCGACCAGGCACCGTGCGGCCCCGAGGATGCCGAGCCCAAGCTTACGCTCCGACATTGCACGGGCCTGGCTTTCAGAATAGGGTTTAGGATTTAGGGTTTAGGATTTAGGGCTTCGGGCTTAGGATTTAGGGCTTAGGGTTTAGGATTTAGGGTTTAGGATCTAGGGCTTAGGATTTAGGGCTTAGGGTTTGGGATTTAGGGTTTAGGGCTTAGTGTTTAGGTTTTCGGGCTTAGCATCTAGGGTTTTGGAATTGGGGTCTAGGCTTTGGGATTCTGCTGCAATCATACCTGGACCCCCAAAGTGCATAGAATTCGGCGCTTTCAGACTCGTTTTTGGGCGTCTGGGGATCATTACTTTGCCCACTTTTGAGGTGCAGGTACTACTACCACGGCCTCATGTACTCATAGTGAAGACGAACATCAAAAGTATCTCATAGTAGTAATTAGTACATACATGGGGATTGGGAAGTTTTCTTGGGGGTCCAAAGCTTTGGGTTTATCGGTTTTCGGCCAACTGGTTAGGATCAAGAAGCTTTTCCTTAAACGTTCCACGTACCTAAATTTCCGGGCTTTCGGGACCAGATGCTTTGCCGTGGATGGCTTTGGAGTATCTGATTGTTTTGACTGCTTGTTTTGATTGCCTCTCGAAGTTACAAATTCTCCCCCCTGCGATCCCCAGATTCCCCCTTCATTGCGGCAACTTATGGATAATGATAAGGACTTGTTAGCCACAAGGGAGAACCACCTGGGCGGGGTTAGTAGGGTATCAAGCAACTCATGAGGCGGACCCCAACCCAAACCTGAAACCCTGAACCCTCAACCAAGCACTCCTCTGACCTTCCAGAGGGGCACCAATGCCTTCTGGTATGAAACCCTATTATGTGGAATCTTCTTAGGGCTTCCTCTACCAACATCCACGATCCTTGAATTCCAAACCTGCGACCCTCCACAATCCAAACCCTCAAGCCGTCAACCTTAATTAATGATGAACAACAATGGAAGGAAATGATGAGGCACTCATGACAGGAATGGTAGTGGAAATCATCACTATGACAGGAACAGCGCATGATAATGAGAAGAGGTTTACCCCAAAACCCAAAATTCGACACCCTAAAACCTCAAGCCCGCATAAAGACGAATTTTATACGGCTAAGGCAAAGACAAAAGCTCGGTCAAAACCCGCCACAACCCCCTCAACCCCCCTAAACCGTATACCCTTTGTGATAGCACTAACTGCGTCTAGGCTATAAAGGGACGTTATTGGGAACCCCAAAGAGGGAACCCCAAGAATATAGTAGGAATATAATAGGAATATACCACCTAGGGTCCTTATATTCTGTTATATTCCTACTATATTCCTGGGGTTCCCTGTTTGGGGTTCCCATTAGAACCCTTTTAGGCTAGGCTTCAAGGTCCCACTCATGCTTTGGAATCGCCATGACCATGCAGGCCCGCCTTTACAGAGAGAGGCACAGATGTCACAAGAAGCTTGATGCCACACAGCAGCGAAGGGCTTAGGGCTCAAGGCTTCTAGTCCCCCTTAAGTAGATAGAATATAGAGTAGATGGGGGTCTTGTTATTACATACCCAAAGCCACATTCTATCTACTTAAGGGGGACTATAGGTTTGTGAGTGTAAGGTTCAGGGCTTAAGGTTGGTTTAGGGCCGAGGGCGTAGAGTATGTCTTCAAAGCAGTGCTTCGCCTTTGGGGGATCTATGGACGTTTCCAAAACAAGGTTCCCCAAATTTTGGGGAGTCTTTGTAATGAATCATCAGGAATATATTATATTTGGGTCAATATTGCGGCCTCCCATATATGGAAATCTTGGAATTTATGGGTTCCTTCAGGAAGAAGCCTTTGGCTGTACAGTTGCCAGTTGGAAGCACACGGCAGCTTGGGAGGTAGTGTCGGCACGTACGGGTCATGGGCACCCTGAACCCAACACCTCTAAACCATCAACCCTAAACCCTAAACCCTAAACCATCAACCCTAAACCCTAAACCATCAACCCTAAACCCTAAACCCTACATATAACTGTCCAAGCCTTGAAGATCCCCTTAATCGCAGGACTCCCAGGCTCTTTGCGATCCTGCCCTGCGGGAACCGTTGTACCCCATACAGTACTTGGAGGGTCAGAGGGACTTTGTAAGTAGGTTAGTCTATAAGGGCGATAGCGAGGGTTACTATATGGGTTATAGGTACTTACTAACCTACATACTACGTAAATCCCCCTGACCCTCCAAGTGCGGGTCACGAAGTGGCTATGCGCAAAGGCAGATTACAATGACTCGGAATCCTGACAAGAGGTCGGCCAGCCTTGGCATTTAACTAATTACAACTACACTCCTGGGAACTAACATGGAAACCCAAAAGAGGCCCTATAAACACTACAGTCCCTCTAAAATGGTGCTACATGGGTTTCCATGTTAGTTTGGGGGAGTGTAAGGATGTGTTGGTTTGAGCGCTTTGTTTTTGGTGCAGCTAAACCGGGTGGAACAGACTTATTTGCAAGGTCCCTCCGCTGTATTCGCGGGTTGTTGGGAATGGTGACAGGATCCGGATAGAAGCCCTCCTATAATCCCCCTAAACCCTGAACCCGAAACCCTAAAACCCAAAACCCTTCCCTAGGCCCTAGCTCTGAGTTATCTCCCTCTCTCTAAGCCCTAAACTCTAAGATCTCAGTCGTAGTTCCTGTTTCTGTTGCATTCTTTCTTTCCGTGCGTACAACCGGCAAGCCACTCACTTCCTGAAATTGGCTTTGCGTCCCCATTTACTAGCTTTGAACGCACAGTTTTACTACTATCTATCCATATGGGGCTTGCCATATACTCTCCAACTACTCTAACCCTTAGTCTAGTGCTCGAGATTTAGGGCTGAGGGCCCCTTGCATAAGCCATCCTGGCGCGGCAGACCTTACGCACACTTGATTTCCACCGAAAGGCGCATCTGCCAGCCATGACACAAGCAAACTTTGAGACTACCACTCTGGGCTCCAAGAAAACGCTCCCAAAGGATCCCTTTAGGGTATAGGCTAAGCTGAGCCCTAACCGTAAACTCTAAACCCTACCTGGTCCCTCCAATGTAGTTCCTTTTTGGGTTTGGTAGGGATTTTTGGTTAGGATTCTTATTAGGACTACCAAAAAAGTACGACATTGGAGGGTCTAGGTAAGGTCCCCTAAGCCCTAAACCCGGCCTGTTACGGTGAACACAAGCGGTACGGGAAATCATGGCAAGGCCAGTACTTAGCCCACATTACCCTAGGAAGAAAAAAGGATCCTTTTTACATAAATATAAGGAACCCCATACCCCAAAAAGTAAAAAGGATCCCTAACATTGATCCAGAGTATACATCCTAAAGTGCTACTATCCTTGGAACCCTGGTAGATGCTACATTCCAACTGGTTCATTGTTCTCAAAAACTGTCAAGAATACTGGAGGAAACTTCAGCTAGGGGTTCAGTATTCAATGGATGAGGCTTTCTTAGCTATCCTTCACACGGATTTTGGGGGTGGCTGTCCAGGTGTATCTTGTTTTTCATGGTCCACAACCCTTTGACATGGTCAAAAGGTCATTAGTCTAAATACTACAGGGGTCTAAACAATTACCAATATCATTTTGAGGTCCATTTGAGGTACCATATACTGTAATTATACAAGGAATATGGAACCATAATATTGGTAATTATTTAGGCCCCCATATTACTTTGGGGGCCTGAGCACTAGTATTCAAAGGCCAGCTGCCTCCAAGAAGGACAAGGGATCATACGGCCCATAGTTTTTGCTTGTGGTCTCTCAACTAGGACACCGACTATATACACTCACTAAGACTTCTCAGGAACTCCACATACACCCAGCACTAGCAAGTAGAAAATCATACCTCATGGAAAAAACCTTTGGCTTGGTTTGGGGTTTAAGATTTAGGGTTGGGGTGTGGGGCAAGCCCCAAAATCCCAAAACCCTCAACGCGGCAGCAAGCTTTCGAAAGCCGGAGGTTTAAGCCAACAGGGAGACGTTCCCCTCTGAGAGCGTGATCTTGCCATCCCTAAACATCCCCACCCCAATGGCTAGTGTGGATGGGGGAATCTCGCACCAGCCCTATTCATGGTGGATCCTAAGCGTCGCAAGATTTCCTCCATCCACAACAACTAGTCTTATACAAGCGATGTGGGTTCTGTGCCATTCCACGCTCTTCACTAAGCGGGGCGGCACATGCCCATGCTCCCACACCATCTTGAAAACTTGTGCAAAAAACCTAAGGATCCAACTACCTATAGCTCCCCTGAAGTAGATAGAATATGGGGTATATGGGGATCTTAGTATAATGTACCCAAAGCCATACTCTATCTACTTAAGGGGGACTGCAAACCAGAGGTAACTTGGACCCTAGCTGGTTCCTATGTGGATATGTCGGGGCCCAAGTAAAACCTATCTGGTACTAGGACCCTCAGGGGGAAGAAACAGCGCTGGACGCGTCTCAAAAGCCTAAGCTCTCAAGCTAAGCGGTTCTCTATTTGGAGTTCAGGGTCTAGAGCTTCAAAGTCCCAAAACACAAGGGCCCTGGCTCTACCAACTACACCGCTGTAGCCCAACCCTCCCAAATGGAGCACATTTTGAGACACCCCGAGTTTGCAACTGATGCAAGACCTACGAAGACTCATAGGTATCCCACCTGCCTTCCCCACAAGAAGCTCACAGCTCTGAACCGCAATAATGATCATGTGCACATGTGTACAAAGCTTATGTTGATAATCATCCTATCTTGTGTTTATGCAGGCTCTTATGGGGATGGATATGGCGGGAAACCCATGAGAGACTTAGTTCGGCTCACTAGAGCCCCGTGGATGCGAATTAGATGCATCATTACCTTAGCTGCTTGGTGCCCCCTGCAGGGTTTTGGGTTTAGGATCCTTGGGCATTAAGCAGGGACGATATAAACAGACCACCTGACCAACGTAACGTAGAAGCCTCAATTTGTGCAAATGGCTGTTGAGCATCTACTTTGAGCATCTACTTGAGGTACCTGATTCTGTAAGTCTACATGAAACATAAGAACGCAACATTGGAAATTATTTGAGCTATAGTCTAAACTCCTAGTATCCTCCTTAATAATCCCGACGATGCTCTCCCATATAGTCCCCTGTATAACCCCCGTTAAATAACCCCCTTTAAGGAGCTTAGACTATAGATCATTTAGGCTACTACAATAGTAGTAGCGAGATGGAAGGGCTGACCGCAGTCTCGGCGGTTCGCTCACAAAGAAAATCAGACTCCCGACTCAGACATAGTCTAAACTCCAAGTATGGCCCTCAATAATCCCTGTACTAGTCCCCTATATTACCCCGTTGATTAACCTCTCTAATGGAGTTTAGACCCTAAACTCTCTATACATATGTATACATATATATATATGTATGTAATATAAATCCCCTATGAAATTCCCTTTGAGGAGCTTAAACTATGGCTCAATTGAATCGCCAAGTTGCTGGTACTTGATCCTTTCTCACTGTTCAAGGCTGACCTTGGACGTGCTTTCAGGTATAGGGTTCAGGGTTCAGGGTTTAAGTTCCTTATCTGGGTTGCCGTCAAGGAAGTTAATTAAGTTACCATAGTGGGTATATGTACATAGTAATTGATATGATTCCCCCATTATAGCATTCTAAGTTTCCAGAATGGACATATATATGTATGTATATTGTCTTTTCCCCCCCATTATAGTGACTGTGCTCGGGTGTAAGTAGTCTCCCTTGATGCAATGCACGCCAGTTTGGGCTTGCACTCGCACACTGCAGGGAAAATTGTAGTAACTCCGGAAAAATTCACTTAAGGTCCATGTTCAGCCGTATCAAAGGCGTATAGCAAGTAATGCGGTCAGGTTTCTACACCATTTGCAAACAAGGATTAGTAGAGTGTATGTTTTTGGGCTTAGCCCTAGGTTTTCGTGCTTGGGAGGTTGTAGGGTCGGAAAACTTGGAATAAGCTGTTGTACGTGCTGCACATTTGTCTCAAAGAATAACACCACGAGTCAGCGTTGCCCTGCTTGTTGTGTAGGTCATGGTCCACTATGAGCCAATTATCGAATCTCCAACCTGCAATTCATCCAAGATCCGTGGCATTATCTGGCATCATCTGGGAAGTACGGCCAACAATCTAGCACGACATGCAAGCTACCGTTGGGAAAACTACTGCCGGGTAGCTGCGAGGAACGCTTCTTAGGCATCTACTTCTTAGATCCTGTCAAGGTTTTGACCCAAAACCAACACCCCAACTAAATATAGAAGTTTCCATTTTCCTTGCCATTCTATGTATCACCTACACATACCCTATTGTAATACAGTAGTTTCATTCTCTTTTTCATTATCCCTATACAGCGTGTGCGGATGCAGTGGAGGAACAGGTTCCCTGACAGCAGTCGAACGGGCTCGTCCGCTGCACTGCCAGTTCCGAAGTAGCGATCCTTGGAGGGATTTCTCAAGATGGGTCATACATAGGGATTCGGAGGGTCTGTATTGGGAATTCTGCAAGGGTTGTTCCCAGGAAATTCGCGAACGGGGCGTGAGTAACGCGTCCCTTTTTTGGACCCCGGGCAATACCACCCCCAATTTCAAAAGACATGAGCTATAGTCGAAACTCCTAGAGTCCCTCTTAGTAAGCCCCTAAACCCTAAACCGACTATATAAACCCTTTTCTCGTCTTCAGGAGTTTGTCAACGGCATTCCTTCTGGCCGGCTGGCTAGTTTCCGCGCAAACCTCAGCACACTCCACGAAAAACCTCCACAACATCCCACGGCAAAAGCTGCAGAAAAGAACGACACAGACCGTCACCCTGAATGCTTTACTATTGCTACTCTAATTGTTTCAAGCTTTATTCATACTACTATTTTTGCTACTATTATGACTATTCTTACAAACAATTATTACTACTACTACTACTACTACTGTTACAGTTGTCCTTCATTTCTACTAGTACTGCCATGACTGCTCCTATTCGGAGCCTCAACCCTACCAAAATCCGTGTCATGCCAAGGTAAAGGGCTCAGCTGTGGACACAATGTGTGCTTAGGGTTTTAGGGTTTAGGGTTTAGGGTTTGGGGTATAGTATCTTATAGTCCTCCTTAAGTAGATAGAATATTAGGGTTATATTTTGGGGTTATACAGGGATAATGGAAAACAAAATGGAAACTACTATTTAGGGCTTAGGTGTAAGGTTCTGCGGTTTATAGTCCCCCTTAGGTAGATGGAATATGGCTGTGGGCATATTATAAAAAGATCTCCATATACCCCGTATTCTATCTACTGAAGGGGGACTATAACTGCTAGTATCCCCTTCAATAAGCCCTATACTCTTCCCCTATCTAATCCCCTACATAACCTTCCTTTGAGGAGTCTAGACTATAGCTAACGTGACATAATAGGGTTTAGAGTTTAGGGTGCTGAAGCTAAGTCTAAAAGAATCCTGGGAACCCCAAAATTCCCGATCCCAGGCAAGACGGTGCCGGCACCATCTACGCCCTCATCAATCTCCTGAGTTGGGTTGAGGGGTCGAGGTTGTTGTGGTTAATGGTTAAGGGTTTAGGGTTTAGGGTTAGGGTTTATTTAGGGTTAGGGTTTAGGGTTTAGGGTTTAGCGGTTAAGAAAGAAGGATAAGGTTCAAGGATATTTGCTCCGGGATTGCAACTGGAGGGTTGGGGTTCAAGAGTCCGTGCAACCTAAACGGAAAAGCTTTACATTTACAGAGACGGGAAGTTCTACGATCTCTTGGCAACAACTCGGCTTCTTTGTGTCAGCAGTCGCGCGACAACTATGTTTTCTGAAAATTGTGAGTCTCGTTTTTTGCAACTGTATCAGAAAGTTCCTACTATTTGAGGTGTGGAGAGATGCCCCTGATGATGTACTGATTGTGGCTACAAATTGATATGCGGCTCCTGAGCAGAATTAACATATTGGTTCTCAGTAAGTAACAAGGGAATTTAACCCTATGTATACATGTATACATATATATATATATATGTATGTGAAATTCTCTTATTCCCTGCTAATAGCCAGTAAGTTTGTAAGGTCCACGTGGGCCCCAACAAGGCTCACACCCCTGGAGCTCCCCTTTGAACGGGATCATACATCCTAGGCACTGGGAAGCCTTAACCCCAGACAGGTTCTTAGTAGGGAGTGAGGGAATATATCATATGGGGCTTCTATAGGGATTGGATTCCCTTGTTCCATACTAAGAACCACTAAGATCGGGTGGTACTCCAAAGGCCCTCCAATTTGTTGGTGACTAGGCTCCCTAACACACAGGCTACCTAAACCGTAAACCCTAAAGGCAATGATGAATGGAAAGTGCCGCCACGCTGCACTTCCGGCCTAAACCCTGCAGCAAGCTTTTCCAAGTGCGGCCTAGTCTCGGTGGTGATGACCTGCATCAGAATGTCAAACGAATGCGTTCAAAAGCACGAGGGTTAAGTTGTGAGTTTCTCCAAGCACTGTTTCAGGGGGCCCCCCATAATCATAATCTCCCTCTCATAATTCCTAATTAACACTCCAGAATCCCAGAGCCCCCCTTCCCCACCTTTTTGAAAAGAACAGGGGCCGCTTGCGAGAAGAACAGCTGCCAGCTCACCAGTTCCGAGATCTCGCGCCGATATAGGCTAAACTCCTAGTACCCCCCCTAATAACCCCTATAGTGGAGAATCAAATGGAAAAGAAAATGGAAAATGAAATGGAAACTAGGATTATATAAGGGATTATAGGGGTTATAGTCTAAACTCCCAGTACCCCCCTTAATAACCCCTATAATAGTCCCTTGTATAATTCCCTTTTGTAACCCCCTTGAAGGAGCTTAGACTTTAGCCCGCATAGGTACCGTTCAGCCAGTGCAAGGCACCCCCGGTTTCATGAGAGCTACAGTCAAAGGGTTTAGGGTTTAGGGTTTGGAGTATATTTTGCTTCTTAAGTTCATGGACATGGGTCTTGATTAGGAACTATATTGGAAACTATTCTTTCCTATCAATAGGACGCCTACTTCCATCCTTCAGGGTCCCTGAGTAACCCCAATACTGACAGCAGCCGTGAAAACCCCCTTGCGCACAAAAAACAACTCAAGCCGGCTTAAAAGCCGCAACTAGTAACTCGTTTTGTCAGAGTTTCCGAAAAACATGCTCCAGCAGGGCTGGAGGAAGGCTTGAGCAAGTGATGGGATCTATGAGGTCTTATGACCCCCCCCCCTTGCCATGAACCTACCCGACACTCTAAACCCCAAACCTTAACACCTAAGCCCTGGTCCTTAAACCCTGACAGTCTCATCTCTAAACCCTAACCCCGAATCCCTAAACCTTCAACTCTCAACCCTGATTCCCCAACCCGTAGGCTACTTGGAGGGTCAAGGGGGGCTTAGTAAGTAGCTTAATCACTCCTTTTACCATATGAGCTGTAGTCTAAACTCCTTAAAGGGGGTTATATAGGGGATTATATCGTGGACTACTATAGGGGTTACTAAGGGGATACTAGGAGTTTAGACTATAGCTCATATAGTAACCTTAGTTATCCCCCTTATTAACCTACTTAGTAAGTCCCCTTAACCGTCCACGTAGAGTACCCACCTTGACCGCCGGAAACTTCTTGCACACGTGGTGAATACCCTCTGGGGCTGCGATAAGGGTGATGAGGATGATCTTATCCTGTACAGTCTGGGACTTTCAGTTTAGGGCTTACAGTGTTCTGGAGAGCAGGCGGGTAAAGGGTGAATCCCTTGAAGCTTTGGGCTTATAGGGTTTGGGGATCAAAGTTTAGAGCTGGGAGTACGGGGTTTGCAGCTTGGGCTCAGGGTCTAGAACTTAGATTTCCAGACTCCAATAGGGTCTACTTGGGGGGTCAAGGGGACTTAGTAAGCAGGTTAGTAACCCCTATACCCCATGCAGTACCGCCACTTATCCCCCTTCTTAACCAACTTACTAAGTCCGCCTGACCCTCCAAGTAGGGCTCAGGGTTTAGGATTCAGGGGTTTAACGCCATGGGTTTTTGCTTTCTGAAGACCACTCTCCTGCCATGAATCTGACTTGCGTCCTGCCCCCACCCATTATCAGTATATAAGGGGGGTCATACTAAGGGCTCTATCTACCTATATTCTACTTCTTATCCAACTGTTAATGAGTGGGGGCACTATACAAAGTATGACTGGGTCTTGGCGTCATCAACTGATTCTCTTTCGGTGCTGCGGCGTGGTCTGGGGGCACTGGGTTGGAGCTTCGGAACAGCTAGGAGCTTGAAGTTCCTATGAGCTATGGTTTTCCCCCCCCTGAATAACCCCGATATAATCCCCCTCTAGTTAAGGAACTTACAGCTCATATTACGTCTGCTGGCAATCGTGACAGCACTGCCGCATCTGAATTCATAACACAAGGAAGGACTATTGGTTCCAATAACTGCAAGCCATACCACGGCTACCGTCTACAGACATGTTCTCAGTGCGCTGGGTCGCTTCTGTTCCAACACTGTCATTATTTTCGTTATGAGCCCCAGCTGCAAACATCAATCACTGATTTGTAGGTCGATTCCTCTTTAATCTTGCGCTGCCTCCCCTATAATATAATATAACAGTGCCCTCCACCTCCCTAACAATATTTTTCCCGACGCTCTATATGGTATAATGGCACACTCTTGGAAGTGACTAATAGATTAGTACTCGGGGTAGAGAGGCTCATTGCGCGGGGAGGGGATCACAACCCAACCCTATACCTTGTACCCTAAACCCCATACCCTAAACCCTAAACCCTACACCCGAAACCCTAAACCCTAAACCCTACACTACACCCGAAACCCTAAACCCTGTACCGTATGAGAAAACCTTTCTACCCCCTTCAACCACCTGGCTCCCCAAAGGTCCCCTGTCTGAGTTTAATGAGAGAGAAGGGGGTTGAGGGTGTAGGGTTTAGGGCCCAGGGGACCTTAGGCATATAGAGCCCGTAAAAATTAATCCTGATTAGGGATTAACTAAAGCCGACATTCCACGAGTTCCTTCAAAACGAGGTTAAAAGGTTGAAATGGGAACCCCAAACAGGGAATCCCAAGAATATAGTAGGAATATAATAGGGATATACCCACCAGGGTCTTTAATTTCTATGATATTCTTACTATATTCTTGGGGTTCCCTGTTTGGGGTTCCCATTAAAGCCCCTTTAGAGGTGCCCCAGTCAATTCGCAATCCGTTTTGATAAGCCCGAGCGCCACCTTCAAACCAATACGCTCAACCTTGCACGAACGCACAACCTCAAAAGGAGCTACTTTGATAAGGAAACCCATCATTTGCTATATAACCATAATAATCCTAAATCCTAAAACCTAGACCCTGGACCCGTATGGTAACGTAATTAAGGCGGCCCGTACCACAACCACTGTCAAAAGTGCCTTGATATTAGGGCAGGTCAAGACCTTAACTTCCTGCACTTACTGGTGGCCTAAGAGAGAGTGGGGGAATGGAATGGATCCCTATAGTGATCCCGTCCCCATATACACCCCCCGTAAGGGTACCTATATTCACTCCCCCGCTCCCCCTGAGCACCAGTAGGTTATGCCACCCGGGCCCCGTCCTCCCTAACGCTTCGACGCTTCGTCAGCACTTCAATGGCCGAAGCGCACGACTGACCTCACAAAGATGAGGTGAATTTAGCTACATTACATGATGAGAAGGTATTGTTTCGTGGTATCCGGAAACAACATTATTGGACTATAGGTGTTGATAACTAAGATTACTAACCCCTGCGCTACGTCTCAGTTCATCCAAGTGGTGTGTGACATAGATTGCTGGAAGCTTACTGAAGGCCCTGAACCCTAAACAGCACGCCCCAGTCGCACCAAGCAACTAACTCTCCGGCATCACATTAGACAAGCGCTCGTGCGCCATTTGTCTTCAGCTTCCTAAGCCTGAAGGGCTTAACAATGAAACCGTCCAACCCAACCCCTACACCTCAAGATCCCACACCAAAAGCCCTAAACCACAAACCCAACACCCCGAAACCCTCAACCCTAAATCTAAACCCTAAATCCTACATCAACAGCCATGGACGGTTGGCCTGAGGCCAGAATCGGATCCATCAGCAACACCTGGGTTGCTGGCAAGGAACTTAGATTAAGTTACCATAATGACTATAAAAAAGTATTCAGCGTTTAGGGTTTAGGGTTACCATAATGGGTGTACATGGTAATTATTAGGGCTTCCCCGGTGTGACAGCAACCCAGACACGTGTCGCTCACCAATGTCGAAAGGAAGCTTCTCATAGAGCAAGTGTAAACTCCTGGCACACACGGTTTGAGGTATACTTGGAGGGTCTATAACACCTCTAAACCACATAGGAACCCTAGTTATCCCCATTCTTAACCTACTCACTAAGTCCCCCGTTACTGTCCCCATAATACGGATTAAAATATGTTGGGGTCTATATTGGGGTCCCCTATTTAGGGAAACTATAACTACCATATGAGCCCATATGAGCATGATTTCCTTCTACATATCCTGCCTGTTTCCAGGAATGACGCACCACTGGCACGAAATTTGAAGGTGAATCCTGCACAACGGTATAAGACTAGCCTGGAGCTCAACCCCAAAGATCTCAAAGCGTAAACCTCAAGACGAGTCCCCAGCCAAGAATAAGTTACATTTTCGTTTCTGTTGCCTTTCCTAAAATTCCCGTTGCTGTTTTTACTATCGTTGTTATCGTTATTGTTATCAGAACTATTCTCGTCTTTTTTGCATGAATCAAATTGGGGTCCCTGCCCCAATACATGCTCGAAACATCTGGGCTTCGGTCCTAGCTACAAAGACCCCCAGAAACAAGACCCAACCTGTCCAGAAAACGCTATCCATAGATTTCATAAATAGAACCACCCAGAAACGGACTAATCAAGTTCCCAGCCCCGTCGGTCCTGCCCGACTGCACTCTGTCCGACTGCACTCGATCAATAAGGATCTTGCCTATCTTCACACCAATGCAGCATGTACGCAGTGCATTTTCCTTGGTTGCAACACGTCAGTCTGGTCCCGTAAATACGTGGAGGTTCATTCTTGGAGGGTCATGGGGACTTAGTAAGTAGGTTCATAAGGGGCATAACTAAGGTTACTATATGGATATGGGTTATGGTTATAGGAGTTATTAACCTACTTACTGAGTCCCCCTGACCCTCCACGTTTCACAAGCTGGAAAGCACGTATGTGGCAACTCTGGCAGAATGCTCTAAGTTTTGAAGATGCGTGGCTCCAAAGCTGCGGTCCTATCTTGCCCCAAACCAACATCCCCTATATAATCCCTTGTATAACCCCCTTTAAGGAGGTCAGATTATAGCTTCAAGGTTGTTGCGCAGTCGATCTGGGGCACCGGATGCAAACTTGCTGTACCACATTTGTACAAGGCAAGAGAGAGACTCCCCAAGTTTTTTAGGGTTAAGGGCTTGGGGCTAAGGGCTTACGGTTAACGGCTTAGGGATTAGGGCTTTGGGTTAACGGTTCACGGAAAGTCTATGAGTGCCCAACCCTAAACCCCTAAATTTTAAATCCCAAACCTAGACCCTAAGCCCTTATTCCAGAACCTGCCGTCTTTTCTACAGCCGCAGCTCCATCGCTTCGCCGGAGCGGATGATGGAAACTCCGCAGATCTTTCGCGAGAAAGTGAGCCCGTGGTAGGACTCCCCGACCTTAGCAGGTTAAGGGTTCACTTGGAGGGTCAGGGGGACTTAGTAAGTAGGTGAATAAGGGATAAGTGGGGTTACTACATGGGTTATAGGGGTTACTATCCTACTTTCTGAGTCCACGTGACCCTCCGAGTATGGTTTGTGGATTAAGGTATAGGGTTCAAGGAGGATTCCCCAACCTTAGCGCTTGATGAACCTAAGGTTGAAACGATGGGCCCCTAGTATGGGCCCTTAATCCTAGGGTCCATATATATATATACCTACATATACCTTATGAAACCCTATGAGCCCAATTAAGGGCCCATAGTCAAGACCTGGCCCATATCGGCTTCGAATGTGTAGACCGTAGACCCTAACCCCTAAATCCCTGAACCTTAAAACCCTAGCCCCTAAACTCCTATAGCTGAGCTTAGGGTTCCGCACTTAACTTTGGAGATTGGTCAACAAAATGGACTACAGATTCCAGGTGTATAGTGTGTCGAGTTGTCGAGTTGAATTTTGCATAGTTGCATTAATCCTTCCCCGTAATATTAAACTCCCCCCTACTCCACTCCCTACTCCCCTAATAGCAAAGACTCCCAATATATGGCAATATACCACAATGGGGAATGTTTAATATTAGGAGGGCGGGGGGTTTTAAAAAGTAGGGGGAGGGGATTATGAATCGCTGCAATCTGGGTTTTGGGTGGGATTGCGATGCTACATATATCTGGGCAAAGTATTCGTCGGAATCCAGAATTAAGGTGCATCCCACGGTATCCCCTGTGGTACAATTGATGGAGGAAATCTTGCACCACCTTAAGTCCCTAAAGTCCTAGGAATTACAGTAATTTAGGGCCCCTAGGTGGTGCAAGATGGTAGCCGTCGTCATCGTCGTCGTGGTCGTCGTGGTCGTCGTCGTCGTCGTCGTCGTCGTAGTAGTAGTAGTAGTAGTAGTAGTAATAATAAGAATAAGAATAAGAATAAGAATAAGAATAAGAATAAGAATAAGAATAAGAATAAGAATGAGAATAAGAATAAGAATACTAACAGTAATAGTAATAGCAATAGTAGGAGCAATAATAATATGGGGGAAGCTGAAGCTACTTGCAGGGAGTGAAGGCCTGCCTGAACTCGGTCCTTGGGCCGACTAGGAACGACAAGAATTGCGCAGGTAGTCTGCAAGATAGAAGCATAGTGCAAGTTTGCCAGAACACCTTGTTACTTTCTGGCCCGGTGACCGACTCTCATGCACACGGGGAACTTGAGTCCTGACTGCACTGCGCAAGGCCACCCAGCACATCCTGTACATATCGCCCCTGGGGTCCTGGTATCTTGAAAACATGGATCAGATCGTGGCTAAATACAGCCTAAAGAAGTCTGCACTTTCCGACACTAGTTTCACGTCGCCCACTGGGGCACTGGGGATGATGCATGCAAATTTGGGGACAACGTGCGCTCCCTCTCATCTAATTAAATGTAGTTAAAGCATTGATTGACAGAGGACCGCCTCGATCGCCACCAGCAACACCACGACAACTACAAGCCCCAACAGCGATCAGATCGGGCCGACGCAGGTCGGGCAGAGGAATGCGGCCTTGCTGGTACCAGTACTGCTCCGGATCTTGGCAAAACTACTTGGCAACAGGACCATAAAAATCTTTGATGCCGGGACCCTGCATCCGCACTTTGTCAACAGTCACAGTGCTCCGCGCGTCCTTGAAGACCCGCGCCCCGAATTCCCTAGCGAAGCCAAATCGCATGAGGGCGGCTCTCTGTATGCAAGCCGCGGCACGGGTCCACTCTGCAGCACGTCGACCCAGACGCCCGGCTTAACGGCAAGATCCCGGAATACCTACCGAAGCCTCCGCAGCTGCCGATTCCGGCACAGCTGCGTGGCAAACCTCCTCACAGCAGCTGTAGGACGCGCCCATGGCAGCGTGTCGTTGATTTGCAAGCTTCGGAACGATAGTACAGCAGTGGAGCAAATGGAGCAAAGGCATGAACATGTCCTGAATCAGAGCCTGGCCAAGGCGACCTGATGCCAATCCATGCTAGACAAATAATTGCAACCGGTCCCTCAGATGGTATGGACTGCAAAAACATTGCACGCATGCAGGCCTTGTTTCTTTTACATTCGATCAATCCTAGTATCCTGGCTAGCTCACGCTGCTGACCCTGTCGACTGAAGCACATGACTTCAGGCTGTAGGTTTTGCCTATGCCCGAAGACATGTCACGAGCATGCGTATGCCCAGAAACGTACGCTCCAACTCCAGCGAGGAGCCAAGCCCTGCACATTGATAAATTTCCCACCCGCCAGGCAAAACAAACAATCGTTCATCACTGTCGAAGACATGGTAGGACCCACTCAAGAAGGGTGGGGGTCTGAATTCTACAAGTAGGAGCCCCTCAGTGAGGGATGGCCTCAAGTTTCTGGCCGGCAGCAGAGTAAGCTCCAAATGCTCACAGCGCAAGGCTCAGGCCGGCGGTCAATCGCTGCGCCGAACCCGTCCCTAAGCGCGCATTTGATCTTAGGCAACCTGGCCTTTCCAACAGCGGCTCTGCGAGCAAAACGCTCGGCCGCGGCAGCAAGGGCTCCCATGCTGCCTGTCCAAACTCTAAAGGAACGGAAAGAAACCTCGACTATGATACATCTGCTCATGCATCTCTGCACTGCTGCACTTCCTTGGCAGCAATGTTTAACAATGTTCCCTCGGCCCCCATTCCAACCCCATGTCTTCTTTCTCTTCCTCCCTTCCCTTCTCGTCCCTTCTGGGTTTTGGCAAATTTTGGACGTCCCGCCTTGGATATGTGGATGTTTTCCTGGACAGCGGCGGCCATGATCTCACCCTGGCACTGAGCTGTGCTTGGTATGTTCGATCTTTAGTTATGCGTGACCACGTTCAACACCTGCAGCTCCTAGAACCTTGAAAGTCTATGTGGCGTGCGCCGTGCATGCTTGAACCTCCATCGAACCCGTCGCATTCTAGTGCCTTATCAGAGTGGTCCAGCTGCGCCACCAGCAACTTACCGCTCCTCAGGAAAGCCGCGCGGTGAGAGAACATTTCGCATGTTTTGAATTAACCGGAGCCGTCGCGGCCTCCAGGTATCCTTCGCCCTACCGAATGTAGTAGAAGCAGTGAATCCATAAAAAAAACAGTTTACTTGAAAGCAGTTTACTAGACTGCGCACAGGACACAATGCTGCAGGCACCAGCAAAAGCATATCCAGGCTCCGGGCTGGGAGACGCAGCTGATCCAGCCATCTTTCCCTGACCTGGACAAACGCGGACAAGCTTTGAGCCTATATAACCCTGTATATATATATATTTTATACACCCTATGTAAGAGTAGTTTCCATTGTATTTTCCATTATATCTATGTAACTCCAACCCTAAACCCCAAACCCTGAACCCTAAATTCCCTATAACCGGTGGCCTGACCATGGCATGCCTTCGTGGCCCTCCGTTTCTGGGCTTTCGGGCGCCGGATACTGGACGAAGAGCCGGCGGCTGTGAGCACCTCCCAGAAGGTAAGGGGCAATGTTCGGGTTCTAGTGGGGAAAATTTGGTTGCTGGGGTTATATTAGGGTGGGGGTAATTGAAACTAAACTGGAAGCTACTAGTTAGGCCAGGATGGACAAAAACTCTTGTTCTAGAGCTTGCGGCCGTTCAGGGGAACGGGAGGAAGCCAACTTCTGCCACTGCGGGCCATGGGTCGGGAGCATGTGTGAGGACTCTTTGGATTGAGGGTTTTGGGTTTAGGGCGAGTGAAGCAGCAACAGCTAGACTAGACCCCTGCAAGGCTGCAAAGTACAGCAGGCAGCTTTACTCACAGCAGTTTCTGTTTGGCAACGCATCCGCGCGAAGGGGAAAAGGGGCTCGATTAACACGAATCCCGAAGTAGACTCAGTAGACGCTTGTGGATGCAACCCCTCCGCATAATTCCTGGCTGCAAAAACAAAAGTTTACCAGAACCCGTCCCTGTATGTACATGCGCGCCCCGTGGTGTCGGGCCTTCTCCAGCTGAACAAGTGCCATGCTTCGTGGGTCCTCGCGCTGGAAGCGAGCACAAATCAGCGCAAGGGTCTTGGAAAACGTTGGGGGTGAGCTGACCACAGAACCCTTTTAGTCCTCCTCCGCCCGCATGAAGGCTGCCTCAAAAGAGGGCTCCGCAACGCATCCCAACTATGTCCGGATTTTTCCCCCAACCAGCCTCGAGCATCCGGACCTCACTGCCCAAGGGAAAGGCCAGCGCCCAAGGCGACTCCTCGAGCCGGGCCAAATCTGCAAAAACCGTCAGTTCTTACACAGACAATTAGCTGGAGGTCCTTCAAGGTAAGAATGGTAGCGCCTTCCAGCCTGCAAGGGAGTCAGCAAGCAAACTCCGGTTCCTGGTCGCCCTCATCGACACCCTGCCCAAATCTCGATGCTTCAACGGAGCCTAGAAGGCCTAAGGATCTTTGAGTGCGGCTGAGCACCTCAACAACAGAGCCCCACGCAGCCACGGTGCTCCGGTCGATGTCAGTGAGGTTTTTAGTAAAGCGTCGTAGAGGGTCCGGGACAACAAATGACAAGGCTGAGCATGTTCCAGAAGCAGCGTTGCTGTACACGCATAGCCCGGGACAGTAGTTCACGCCAACTGTGTGAGCGCGGAGCAGAGGATTGTTGACCAGGTATCGCTTCGGGGCCTCCGACTCTCAAACAACAAACCTCATATGCCTAGGCTCAGACCTCTCAAACCTTGCCATGCTCCCCTGTGGCTGCCTCCTCGCGCAGTACCTGTATCTTCTCCGCATCCTGCATGGCCACCTCCGGGGTATACTTCCCAACGGCTGCTTCAACTGACAGCCCCGAGCCTGCTGGCGCCGTAGCTTGTTAAGCTCCTCCTGCATGCTCTCCTCGCCAACTCTGCACCAGGTCTACAGCGCTGCATAGCAAACCATGGGGGTTGTCCAATATTCTTTC